TGGTTTGGACAAGGTATTTTGAGGTGTGATTTTCGGCTGCTAGAAAAATGTGTGCACATTTTGTTTCCTCCCTTGTCTTATATATAGTGCAAGCTGATCGTCCGGAAACAAGTATTAGTGATTTTCGTGGTTTCGGAGCGTGATGATTAAATTTAATATCATATGCTTGATTCACATTACTAAACTGTTTTAATTCTATAATTTCTATTATTTTGAGCAAGGACAAGGTCCTGTACCGGGACATAGTCGCTCGGTCCCATAGAGGTCCATGCATTGAGACGAATAGATCGTCAGGCCCCTGTGGTCGGAACATCGCCACAGCATGTCGCTAATAACATAGCATCGCGCCCGCGTAGAACTGCTGCTACTATCGCGAGACTACGAATTCAAGATCTCGCACGATGATCCTATTGCATCGTGAATCAATACGAACATTATTAACTCACATCGTTTTTATCTTTGTTATATTTTTAAATTAGAAACAATTTGTGTATTGAGATTTCAGTGTTTGCTTATAATTATCGTTTACCTTCTTGATTATTTTTGAATGTGTTTACTTAATAATTATTTGATCAGAATTTAATTCGCCAAGTATGCTATTTAGAACTAGTTTATTTCGATATCGTTTGATTACTTTTGGCCGCCCGGAGAAATGTGGGAAACTGTTTTTGTTTATTTTTCCCGTCGGGCGGACAGCGTCACTCTGTATGTTTATGTTTACGTCCATACTTACTTTATACTCTATTTACGTTTGGTCTTAATTATTGTAGTTCTGTTAATTGATTTAATTAATCCCTGACACCTGGTCAGCGCTATGTATTGTTTTGGCGGCACCTTTCATGTGCGCTATATAATGCGTGACCATTTGCAGAATAAACCAGAGTTCTTTCAACCATCAATCGAACGTCTCTCCGTGATATCGTCTTTCCCGACCGATGTATTTCCCCTACCACACAACCTTTTCCACTATTCTCGATAAATTGTGCTAACTTGTTTTAGCATGATAACAATGTATTTCTATCAAAAAGAAAAAGTTTAGTACAACATCGCGAAAATTCGAATCACAGACGTAGTGAATCAAGTTGTACAAGACTTGTTTGTACATTATCATTCCCAAACATGTGCAGTTTGATAAGGTTCGTTCGTTTTTTCAACAACGACGATGCAATATTCACACAGTGGGTATAGTTTATATTCCTTACTCCGTAGGATATAACGAACGGTGTTGGATATCCATACTCTAATTGTACATATCGACAAGACAGGCAGACTGCGTACGGAAATGATTACGCTTACACACAACTCGTAAGTATTAATAAGACAAACCATTAACGGGATAGTTCAGAATATTGGACTATCAAAATATATGGCAAAATAGGATTGTTGAATTCTCAACAACACTGGTAATCGTATTGTAATGACCCGTATAATAAATAGTGGCTCACAGTACCGGCACGAGTACGCCAAACGCATCGCGGTGCGGGACGCCATCACAGACCCATCACGCCATCACAGGGGAGCCATTAGCATACAAGTATGTTTGAGATACCTGTAACAGAATCTTAGACATGATCCATAAAGGTCACACATTCTGGTAATTTTCGTCATATAATAACACTAATTTAGTTTTGCAATGTTATACACTGTTTTGTATACTTCAATGATAATTGAAGAACAGTTATTGAAAAATTCCCTGTAATAGTGAATTAGTACGTTATGTAGAAACATCCAGAATGAGCATAGATTGTTTGTTTTTTATTTCCCAATAAGGCGTGCCAGAAATCAAATTTACAGCGACTTATTCAAGAGAAATGTTGGTGTGTCGATAGTTTACTGGTCGAAGGAAGACGATGCTCGATGATGTCACTGAAAGAAGGTACTAGTATTCTACTTATTTGCTGATCACACCGATTCTAATCTCGCAATTATTTGCATATTCACGTCACTAATGATGTGTTCTCGCGTGCCTTTATCTGTAGATATGTGTCGCCAGTTGATGTATTACTTCCAGAAGCGGGGATTGTTAATTGGTGACTGCATGGACCCATGCAAGTAAGGTTACCTTTGTCTACCACTGTTAACAATTTGTACATTTAAGAACGCCGTTTTGTAGGGAACCACGGAATATCTTTGTTTGTTTATGACGCACACATCTATAGTTTATAGACGGACTGTGGTTTAACACACACTTACTCCCATCTCTTCTTGTTTCAAGCACATTACCTTCACAACCGGAGCAACAACTACAATGTTTGGTGTAAATTATTGCTACGCTCTCACTCGGCGGATTTGGATCTAATCAAATCCATCCGGTGAGGGCGCAATAGCCCACTGCCGGTCGTCTTCAGGGTGTATTTTAAAGTTTGTTTTATCTGCATTGTAATTTACAGCTACCTAGAATATAGCCAGGTTATATCCCAGGCACAATGGCCTTCGAATTCACACGCCGTAAGTACTCCACGTGGTATTATTATATAGGATTCTAAAAGGTAATAAACTACTAGAGTTGTGACTTCATAAGTCACATGACTCGATTCATACGACCATGTGTGTCAATAACAATTGTATTTTACAAATAGATGTAATATTGTTTTTATATCATGTCATATATCAGGGAGGTATGGTCAAATTACTGGCACCATTGAATGACAAGGTTAGGGAGTTCGTATTTGACGAGAAATCAGCACGGTAAGTGATTCGTATATTGACCCCCTAGTTTGAAGGTGGAAAGAAACTACCATTTAAAACTACAGATTCAAGTTTTCTACCCGGCAGCTGACATTTTACAATTTGTTAATTGAGGGCTAAAAATCCAACTAATTATATCAATTCAAATTATTAATTAGTTTCCCAATTTTCACTATACTACACTAAAGAATAAACAAATATGACCAACGTGAAATGCACGATAATATCCGTGTGCATGGTGCAAGAAGTCTGTGCAAGCTATATGATCTCAATACAATAAGAGCATAGGTTTTCAACCGTCACACATTTGAAAACACAGTGACTGTATTTACGGTACGTCTCAGGGGTAAGATCTATGAACTGATAAGACTTTAAGAGTTAAAACAATGATTGGGGCGAAGGTTCCGTGTCGGGTCTATGCTGTATGCTGACGCATGGAACCGACTGCGGTGCCTTCGTCAATTACGCATTGTAACCGAATCAAGTGGTAGTTGACATAAATAGTTCAACCAACTATAGTTTTTATTCAGTACTAGGCCATATACCGGACACAATGATTCTAGCAAATGGGAATTGTGGATAGGTCGCCAAAAATGCATCGCCGATTCTTCGCAATCCTTCAAGTTCGCTACATTTCGTTTTTGACAAGTTGTCGCAGGCATGTTATGCCAACTCTGATTGGGCGCATGCTTTCGAGACGCCTCCAATCGGATATATACTTTTTAACTCTGATTCTTGGGGGAATATTTTTACATCGAGCTCGAGAAACCGCACAATTCGGACGATGGGGTTTTTCCACATTATTTTAATTAATGATTTTTCCACATTTTCAGAGATAACCTGGTGAGACTGGAAATATATTATGACGAAATTAACTACCAGAAAATAACTAAATTGCCTGCCTATACGGTGAGTTTCGGTATCCGGCAATGTCAAATATTAAC